GGGGCGGGATGGAGCTGACAGAGGCTGTCTCTCCATCACTCCTCAACACTCTTGGGGGTGGTATTATCCCCATTTTAGAGATAAGGAAATTAAGGCTCAGAGAGGGTAAGTAATGTTTCCAAAGTGACCCAGATGGTGTTAGACAGAACTGGCATTTGAATCCTGGTCTGACGTCAAAGCCCATGCCTTTTTCACTGTGATATCCTAATCCCTCCATCCCCTCTCCTAGTTGTGGAAAGCCCTGGTTAGAGCTCCACAAAGGGTGGAAGCAGAGATGGAGACGCTCAGAGTTCCCTGGAGAGGTGGGCAGGTAGGCTGGCAGGAAGAGAGAGAAAGGGTGATATAAAGGGGTCCGGGGAGCTGGTGCTGGCCCTTCAGGCTTCCACCCTGTCACTAGCAAGTCCCAGGGCACCTGGGAGTGTTGGGGGCCAGAGACTGGAGTGTAACCAAAGAAGGGAGAACTTGAGGAGAGAAGGGAGGGCAGCTTAGAGAAACAGACGGAGGGTCAGTAGAGACAGGAAACTAGAAAGTTAAAAAAAATCTTATACTTGCAAGCATTCATCTGGGCATGGGAGGGTGTGTTGACTATATGCTTATTCTATGTGCTATCATTACTTAAAGGGCATTTCCAGAACACCTGCCTCTTTAGGACACGCCTTCAGTTTTCTGTAATTTGTTCATTCCTCTCTTCTTTATTCACTTAATAATGCAGGAATGAACCAATATTGACTGAATATCCAACTGCCAGAACTAACTAGTCTGTTGGACGTAGTATGTCAATGGTAGCTAATAATTTTTATTTGGGGGTGGATTCCACTTTGAAAATAGTCAAATGGCATTCACAGCCAAGTCTGATGCTGTCACTTTGGGCTGGGCCTGCTAAGCTCACTGCCATATGTCCCTTATCCACTTTACCAAGTGGGCAAGCAAGGTGGAGAATGTTCCTCTGTGTTTTACCTGCTATAATTCAAACACTAGCCCCAAAGCCCCTGTGCTATGGGACCTGCAGCTTTGCCCAGTTCGGCATGGGCAGTCCTGGAGGACGGAGGCCCTGGCAGTGCTTGTATGAGTGGGGAAGCTCCGCTATGTCTTGGGTTTCTCTCTACCAGTGCTTAGTGTGAGGGATGGAGTGTAATCCTGCTCAGAAGAAGAAAAAGGTCAGATCTTTAGAAAAATTCAGAGAGAGAGAGGGGAGCTATTAAATGAAATGTCTCAATAAACATAACTTTTTCATATTAGCATCACAGAGGAAGGACGATAGATGGAAGAGAAGAAAAGAGAAAAGAAAGACAAGCTGTGACTACACAGGTGTGAAGGAAGAACTGGAAGGACTTTGAAAGTGCTGCTGGGAACAGGTGCAGATGCTCTGGGGAGAGGCTGGAGAGGGGCCTGGGGCTTCCACCAGGAGCGGTTCCACCCCAGGATAAGGCCATGGTGACGCTGTGAGGGCCAAGTTCCCCAGGGGCTGCCACGGCAAGGCTGCAGCTGCCCAACAGGCCAGAGCCAGCTGGCAGACATCAATGCAGCACAGAAAATATTAAGGGGAAATGGAGGCATTTATGAAATGACATGATACCTGGGACTTTTGTCAAAATGTGAGTTGCTGTATGCTGAAGCTAGGTAGTGAGTTCATGGGGATTCCTTATACAAGTGTCTCTACCCTTGATGATTATGTTTGAAATAAAAAGTTTCTAATAATAAGCAAGAGGTCTTTCACAAATAGGGGAGCTATGAAGGAGCCACACATGGCAGATAGGATAATAACAAAGGAATATAAGCCATTGAATAGAAGCAGAAATTAACAAGAATTTGTCTTGGGTTCTTTTAACTAACACTGCAAGTCAGGAGTTCCTAACCAGGGAGTGACAGATGAGTTGCAGGGATCCCTGCGCTCCATAATTGTGCAAAGTGATCTAAGAGTTTCCAGTGAGTTTTCAAGGAATCTGTTTCCCCCAGTGGTTAATAAATTGCATTCTCTCTTAAGGGTGCTATGCGTGTGTTAGTCACCTGATTCGTGTTTTTTAAATGGAAGGTTTCTTTTATAGAACCGGCATGATCACATCTGGCTCCTGTGTTTTTAGCTGCCCTCTCAGTCAGCCACACCCAGAAGAGGGCAACATTGCCTGGCTTGCTTCACAGCCCATCTCTCTGGTGGCAGCTCCCAGGGTGCTACAGCCCAGAGCCACAACACCTTCAGTGGAGGTAGGGGAGGGCTGTGTCCCAGAGACCAGGGTGCTCAGTGGGGAGGCGGACACAAACAAGAGAGGTTTGGGGAGGTCACTTGGGGGTCTCCAGGAGGCAAGAGCGGGTGCTGGGTGTTGAGGCTGTCCCCTTCTGGCAGATTCACCGGCTTTCAGCTGCAAATATGCAACAGAAATCACCGTGTTGACTAGTCTGAGGCTCAAAACCTAAAGACACCTCCCCACTCCCCAGAGAATTTCTTAGAAAACACCTTCCATTCTTCTCAGGGCAGAATAACACCCAATCTGACATCCAGCCCCTTGACACTAATTCTTCCAAGTCCAGCTCCCTAGAATGGACAGAGCAGGCTGTCACTAGGATTTGCAGCCCAGTTGAGCAGCGAAGCGGGGTTAGTTTAGGGATCTCGTCAGTTCCTCTATCTTGGAACCATGTCCACATTTAGGTTAAGGCTTGGAGGCCTTCCCTTATTTGCTGACACACGAGCGTCTCTCCAGCCTAGCGTCGTAGGCTAGTGTCAGAAGCACAGAGTTGGCCCCCGGCCCTGAGAAGAGAGCTGGGAGGACAGGACGGAGCATGGGGCCAGGCACTGCTCTGCAGCCGGGGCACTGAGCTCTGCTCTCCATACCCTCCTTCGGAGGAGAAAGGTAGTGAAGGAAGCCCTTTCCCCATCTTCCCCAGCAGGGCACAGACGGACTGGCAGTCAGGGACCCTTGTCTCTGGGGGCTTGTCTTCTCTCCTCCAGGCATCTGAAGCCTGGCACCTTCCCTGCCTCTCATCTGGCAGCTCTCCTGTCTCAGCAGTGGCAAGAGGTGGAGGCCCTGGGAAAGAGTCTGCCTGTTCCTAGACCAGACTGCAGGGCTGAGGGCAGGGGAAGGGAGGAGGTGGGAGAGCCAAGACTAAGAGACAGGTCTGTCCCAGGCCGGGACTGGGCGAAGCCATGCGGCTGGCGTGCAGCTGCCTCGGCGCTCCTCTCCAAGGCCTGCGTGGTGGCCTTCCTCCTCGGGGAACGCTCTTCCCTCCCACCTGACATTCAGGGTCTGGACACCTCTCTCCAGCTGGTATCTAAGTGTAGGACAGGCAGCATGTCAGGAAAAACCCCCGGGAGGGCCTGCTCTCTCTCTTTTTTGTACACCCCTGCCCCCAACAGGCCCCTGACTGAGGGCACCGCCCAGAATCCTCTTTCCTCCATGACTGCAAACTGCCAAAGCAGCAGGAGGTGCAGGGCCAAGAGCAAGGGGCTTGCTGACAAATTTGGAGTTGCAGCCTCATCCTTCTTCCTTTATTGCAGCCTCTTCCCTCCACTGCCTGCTTCCCCAAGGCGTCACACAGCTTTCCCCCAACCCAACTCTCCCTCGGCCTTCATGTTGGGTGGCCTCCTTTCTGTTCTGCTTGGCACTGCAGCCACCCCTGCCAGGGACCCAGAAGAATGGATTTGCAACAGGGACTTTCAGACACACACCAGTCCAGAGAGATCCTTCCTAGAGTGGAGAGGACCTCCTTTTACTGTTCCCATCACGTCCCAGAAAGAGCCTCACATGCTGATGCTCAGAAAGAGGACCTGTGTAGCAGACAGATTCCATAAAGAGGACCAAAGCTGCTTCCAGTGGGCAAGCCTTGGGGCTGAGAGGCACAGACCAGTGAAGAAACCTTTTTTTTTTTAAACTGTGCTTTATTTAGGGCTAAGCTGGAGAAAGCGTCATCCAATAGTTACAGAAGGTTACAAGGAGTTTTAGGGAGTTGAGTGTGAAAAGAGCAGTTGTACTGAACTGCAGCTGTTTTCTTTTTTTTTTTCTTTTTCTTTTTTTTTTTTCTTTTTTTTTTTTTACATCTGGACATCTTAAAAGGAGGAGTCAAGAGAAAAAAAGAAAATGAAAAACAACAACAAAATTGACAGAAAGAAAGGAAAGGCAGGAGGCCCTCGAGGAACTGGAAATTTGTTCTTCTAAAGGGAAAAAATGGTGGGTCTGAGAACCCCCCGGCCTCCAGATGAGCTGGACATCAATGAGGAGTCGAGGCAGAATGCCAAAGCAATCTTCCCAAGGGTGCAAATAAATTATAATAAATATGTTATACTTTAAAATATATGTGTTCTTAAATAATTCAGTGTTTTTTCTGATTCTGAGTTTTTTTAAGCAATGTCTTTAACTGCTCTAAAGTCATTTACCAAAGATAAATATCGTGCTTTCATTAAATAGTTTTCCTTGTTTTTTTCTCTATCATTACAATTAAAAGTCCTACAAAATATGCAAATTTATTTACAGAAAAACAGAGCCGGCATCATTTAAACATCCCTGTTTTTCAAAATTCCTTGTAAACAGTTTCAGAAATTCTTCAAAGATTGTTTATTTTCTCTCTCTTTTTTAAGGTTTTGTGTGTGTGTGTGTTGTCTAGTTGTTTTAAGATGAAAGTTCCCAGTTCTCCCTTGCCCGGAAAGTCTCTGGAGCAAGCGTGGAAGGCGAGTGAAGCGGAAGGTGAGTGAAGCGCGCGCAGCTCCCGGAGGGAAGCGAGAGGCGAGGGCGGCGGCGGCGGCGTCCCAGGCGACGCGGCCGGTCCCGGCCGATGGTGTGGCCTCCACCGGCGACCGGCAGCCAGGCGCCCGCAGGTCTGGGGCGAGTTCGGCCTGGCCTGGCCCTCGGGGACCACGGCATCCGACAGCACTCGCGGGGAGAAGGGATTGATGCTCAGTCTAAACTCTACAAAAGTACAGTCCTACAACATCTGGGATTTTAGCAGTAACGCTAACTTCTATAGTTTTTTTTTTTTTTTCCTTTTTTATTTTTATTTTTTTATTTTTTGCTTTCCTCTAATTTTTCTTCTATTATATAGGTATTTTAAACTTTTCCTTTTTAAAATTCTGTACAACTATGATGATTTTAAGAGGGGGAAGAGTTAGAAGCATTTACAGACTTTTCACAACAATGACCTTGAAGCCTGGTAAGTCCCGTTTGTTCCCCTCCTTGTTTTCTCACACTTCACGGTTTATGAGTTTTAAGATTTGTGTTGCTTTCCCCAAATATCCACCAATTTGTTCATCTTAACAGCTCCATCCAGACATAGAATACAGAAAACCATAGGAAAGTGTCATAGACTTGGATGAGGGTCATCAAAGCGCCTCTCAAAGTATCAAAGAACTATTATCTTGCTGTTTTAAAAGCACTGAAGCGTTATTTTTCCTTTTTTTTTTTTGTTTTTTTTTCTTTTGTTTTTTTTTTCTTTTAATATTTTATTACATTTTTCATAGAATCGCTCTAAGCTGTTTCAAGAACAGCCATGAGGCAGGAAGGAGGGTCCCTCCATTCCTCCTCTATTTGACATAGAGCTACACATCTGCAATAAAAAGTTTGGTCCTTTGGTCCCTAAATAGCTAAAGGAATGACAGATAAAGATGCTCAGTGGCGGCCTCCCAGCCGCCCCCTGGGGACCAGGCCCCACACACCGCTTGCCCCAGCCTGCCTCAGGCACCCGTGGGCTAGAAAAGCCCCGGGATCGGTAAGCAGCGTCTCCTCCCAGTTCCCAGCCCTTCAGCCTCCCCGTCTGGTCTTGTGATATTTTGTTTTAAAGTTGCCTTTTTTTGCGATTTTTTTTCTCATTTTTCTTCATCTTCTTCTTCTTTATGTCATATATATTGTTCCCCCAAACACGTGCCCTCTGAACTCCATAGACGCTATACTTTCCTTGAAGAAATGTTACAGTCACACAGACAGTGTCTGGAGTCTTCAGCTTGATTGATATTGGCTGATATGTCAAAGGTGTCATCCAACAGTTCTCATTTATAAATATATATAGAGAGAGGTTTGTTTTTTAATGTAGCCCGTTCAGCATCCTGCCCTAAAATGAAGAAAATCAGGGCTGATTAAGCCAAGAGGGAAAACACAAAAAACAACCAAACACCAATAGGAACCTGCCTCAGGGGCTAGGATGGGAGCTCTAGGGCATGGTGGGAGGGAAGGAAGAAAGACCAGTATGAGAATTAGTCATGATCATGATACATTAAAAAGAAATATACTCTTCTAGTCAGAGTAGAAACCACTGGGAGGTCTAGTGGTGATAGTTGTAGCTGAGGTTTCGTTGTTGGAAGAAGGTTCTTGATTTGGGTTACTTTAGCATTCTGGATTGGGGGTAGCTAGATCTAAGGGGAGAATTTGGGACTCTGGGATATGAATTCATAATTAAACTTGTCTCTGAGGGATCTAGCCCAGATACAATATGTATACAGAAGCCTAGCAAACAAGATAGGAAAAATCTAGCTGCCCAGCCCACTCCTCCCAGCTCGAGGAAAAGAAGGAAGACATATCCGTGACTCAAATTTTGTAGAATCCTCGCCCAGCTTCCAGCCAACCACTTCTTTCCCGGGGTCAGTAACTATTTGCGAGGCTGTGTATATATATGTATATCTGGATATATGTGTAGAATATATTCACCTGCACATATGTGGATATACATGGATATGTGTGTATGTATATGAATATATACACACATACACACACATAATACTTTTCTCATACATGCCAGGGAATTTAGAGGAAATTCAGAACTTCAAGGGAGTGAATGGGAAAATCTAAAAAAGGTCAGAAGAGATTTAATTATGAAACTTAAATAGATTAACTCAGACAGTGCTTGATTTTGTTTTGAATGGTGGCTTTTTGGTGTTTTTTGCTTTAAAAAAATCATGATCTGACTAGAATCAGAAGGCGAATGCTTAATCATTGTGAATTAACAAATGAGACTCATCTCCATTCTAGCAAGCAGCTTCCACTTATACATGGGGGTGACTGGTTACATCAAGAAAGTTAGAACTGCAAAGCCCCCACTTGAGGGGACAACGTCATGCGTATATCAATCCATGCTGGCAGGTTTTTCACACTGTTGATTCAACAAACAGCAAACCGTACACAGCAGTCTAAACAATTACAACACCAAATAAAATAATAATAAAATTAAAAAACACTTGTCAAGGACCCTTTTTCAGTTGTAAACAAAAAGGTGCATTTTGCTTTTGTTAGTACTGTTTCTTCCAAACCAACCAAAAAAACCCCCCAAGCCCCCAGTCCCAAGCCTCCCCTCCCCACATTTAATTTAGCAGAAGTAGCTACAATACAAACCTTACAATTGTTACCGGGCTCTCTCGCAGAGGCCTCTGGCTTTGTACTCTAGTTTTTTGGTTTAGAATTTTTTTTTTATCATTCTGTTACTGTAGATATTTTGTTTTTGTTTTTTTTGTTTTTGTATTTTTCCCTTTGAAGTGAGATTGAAAATAGCCTAACTGGAAAAAGACCAGACCTAGGAAAGTGTCAATTGAAAAAGGCCCCCAAATTTCTAGAAAAAAATAAAATCACAATATTTTCAAGTGCAAGTAAATCAACCACGCATAGATATTTTTAAGATGTTTTCCTTATTTTTAAGAAAAAAAATAATGGTTTGCACAGGTAAATGATCCCATGTTTGATAATTCAGGAATTCATCTTTATTTTGACTATTTTTTATTCTTTTGTTTTGTTTTTTTCTCTATGTGACATCTAGAGAAGCATAAAAAAACGCTGAACAAGAAAAACCAAACAACAGAAAGTAAAACCACTGCAAGCACCAAGAACGAAACGAAAATGAGCACAGCAAAAAAGATTGTGGCAGCACAAAAGTCAAGAAAATGCACGTGTGATCATGACTGGCCAATCATCAACTGATACAACATCCAAGAAAAACGCTCCAATCACAGCACCTCCACGAAACTTGACGGCAATTGTCATGCAACCGATTCTTAGCCTTGTTACATGACGCCATCATGTCACACTGTGAACTTTGAGTTGATTTGAACTTACGGATGGGGGACTTTTCTCCACTCTCATGTGATTACGTGAACTTTATTCCTAGCTCAGCGCGAGACTGTGGTGGATTTGACTGGCCCTGGTTGGGTTGTTGGAATTTGATTGAATGACAAAAGAAGAAAAGATTTATATATATATTTATATATGTAGAGAGAGAGAGAGAGAGAGAGAGAGAGAGAGGACAAGAGAGTGTGGGTGGGGGAAGGAAGAGGTGGGGCAGGGCAGGTAGGGTTGGGAGTGTGGGAGGGCAAGGAAGGTTGGGATTCGGGTGAAGGAGGGCAAGGAAGAAGTTAAAACAAAATTAAAAAGAAAATATATTTATACAGCACCAGACCACAGCATCAATCTAGAAGCTCGGATGAGAGAACAGCAGTCAAATCATAAGAGAACTGAAAAGAACTCAAAGGATGGAGGAAGCCGGCAGACAAACATGGGCACATCAACACACACGCGCGCACACACACACGCACACATACACACATACACACACGGTTGTTTATGCAGACACATGATACACTGTGAACAGAAGCAGAACCTCATACAGGGCCACTAAGGGCATCCATCATGCGTTGGGGAGAGGGGCATGGGCGGTTTGTCAAGGGGGCCAGAAAAAAAATAAAACAGCCCCTCAAACCACCTTGGCTGGCAAGCGATCTCGGGGAGCAAGCGCTCTGGTTTTCATCACCCCTGATTCTTTCTCTCCCCTAGGGGTGGTGCTCCCCCCACCCCGACTCAGCTTTCTGTGACTGCAGCCTGTGGGCCAGCGGGGGATGTCTGTCAGGGTGGCCCTGGTCAGCTGGGTAGGTCAAGGCTTGCTACGGTGACTGCTGTGTCCACAGTGTCCATCTACAAAAAGCTCTGCTGCTGTAGTACCGCCCATGCTGGCAGCAACTCAGCCCTCAACCTGTGGACTCACCCTGGCCACTATCCTACAGAAGGCTGCAAGGGCACCCACCATGGAGGTTACGGGCCTCCCCTGCTTCAGCTCCACCTCAAGTTACTTTCCTCAGAACCTTCATTTTGCGATTTAGGGTAAATTTCATCAATGTTGGAATTCTAGAAACATGCCTTGGCACTACTGAGTTCATCTTGCAATCGCCTTACGCCCTTTCTTTGCTCACACTCTGCCTTGCTCCCAAGTGGCCTGGGTAGCCAAACTGAGGCTGCATCTGGGCACACAAAGCCCTTCGAAGGTTCTGCAGCGCTGACCCATCCAAGGGCCACATGGAAGGATGGAGGATGCCCTGCCTCTAGCCTCTGCTGCTCCCACCCATGCTCTGCTGAGCTCCCTTGCTCACCACCCCATCCTCCTTTCCCACCCCCTCACCCCACACCCCTCCATGAACAGCTTTCCAGCCTGGCCTACCACAAAACCCCAACCTTCAGCTTTCTTTCCCGGTGGAGCCCTAAGTGCTTGAGAATGAGGTTCTCTTCCCTATCAGGAATCAACAGATGGTTCAGCTTCCAGTAGTCCTCTGCCGCACCTGGGATCGGCGGTCCCTAGTTCCACCCCTCCTCATGGTGATCTTGAGCTTGTGCCAATAGGCCCTGCTCCCCTGTGGCACTCAGGCCTGGGCAAAGCCTGTGCGCCAGGCTGATCTGCGGGCTTTCCAGTCCACAGGCTTCTACACACAATGGACTTCCCCTGTCAGCTTTCTGCTTTCCTTCAAGGAGGGAGGAAGGGAGGTCTGGGATCTTAAAATGTCACTGTGGATGAGGGGCCAAGTTGCTGAGCCCAAGCCCAGCCTCCAGCTCAGCCTTCACAGAAGCACCCCAGACTCCTCCTGTGCAGACCCCAGCCTGCCTGCCCACCAGAGCTGGGTTCTTTGTTCTTCCAACATTAGATCTCCCTCCCTCAGATCAGGGCTCGTCCCATGCCCACCAAGTCATGAAATGCCACTTCCAACTCCCCCCAAGGAGCCCTTAGTCCCACCCAGGATAGCCAGTGGGCAGGTCCCCTTGGCATGGGAGAAGAGGCCTAAGGAACTAAGGAGGGTATTGCCATCAGATGGGGGCTATGCGACAAGTGCAATTCAGGGACTCCCAGGGACTCTCCTCTCTCCCCTCCATTCCAGCCCTAAGCCCCTCATGGGCATTCACTCCTTCTTACTCTGCCTGCTCCTCTCCTAGCTTGAGAGTGTGGCTACTTGTCAGGGCCAGGCACTGTCTTGGGTACTGCAACACAAACCTGAATAGCACACAGCCCCTGTCCCCAAAGCTCAGTCTAGGGAACATCCCCACACACACCCTCGTCTCTCACACATTTGAAGCTCTAGACCAGGCGTCCCCAAACTTTTTACACAGGGGAACAGTTCACTGTCCCTCAGACTGTTGGAGGGCTGCCACATACTGTGCTCCTCTCACTGACCACCAATGAAAGAGGTGCCCCTTCCTGAAGTGCGGCTGGGGACCAGATACATGGCCTCAGGGGGATGCATGCGGCCCGCGGGGCCGTAGTTTGGAGATGCCTTCCCTAGACACACAACACACCCTCACACTCAGTCCCTGAGGAGGTCCCAGAACTCCACGGGGCACAGTTGGCTATGCTCTTCATTAGGGAGGAGCTGTTCTTCTGCCTGCAGTGTGATCCCTTCCTGGCCACTCCCGGGGTGGGGCTCACAGAGCACAGCCCTAGGTGTGGCAGTGGGATCACTGACCAGTATGGTGAAGCCCAACTCACCATGCTGGGTGAGGAAATTATGGCCAGACTGAACCAAATCAGATATCAGGCCCTAAAATCAGCTGGACTCAAGCAAGGGAGGGCCAGGTCCAAAGCCACAGTCCAGCCCTGTACAGGTTAGACCCAAAGCACTTGTGCCTGCAAAGCCTGGACCCAATACTTTCCAAAAGCATTCTCAGAGCCAGAGTCACAGGACTCACTGGATTCAGGACAAGATGGTTGGTGCACTCTCCAGCCATAGAACTGCAGTGCTAGGAGTCTGAACTGGCCTGCTGCTGGGGCCCAGTTTGCACTTACTGCGGTAAGTGCTGGCAGAACAAGGGGCTCAGAGGCCAACCTCTGAGCTGGGCGGGGCAAGGCTGGGTGGGTTCTGCCTGCTGGCTGTGGACCTGGCCACATGCATGTTTTTGCCTACTCTTCCTGCCTTTGCTTCCTTCCTTTTAGTTTCCTGGCAAAGATTGCTTAGAGAAACTACCATCTTAGCACAAGACAACAAACCCAATCTGCCAGAGGGGTAGGGCAGTGGGGAAGCAGAAAACCAGCCAGCAAGGAGAGCCACTGACTCCAATCCTGATCCAGGACCTCACTTCATGGAACCAAAGCCCAGCTGCGCTCCCCACCGTTGCCCTGCCTGGGCCCCTCTTCCTCCCACAGGTCTGCCCCACTCCCTTCTGACTTGGCCTTGGAAAACCGGCACCCCCCGGGGGGGCAGCCACACTACCGACACCGCCCCCCCACCTCCTCCTTTGTTCCCAGCTATGGTTGGTCCCTCAGCCCCTGTTCAGGCTGCCTGCCATTCTGAGCACCTGGGCCTGCAGCTTAGGCCTCGGCACAGATGAATATCCTTTACTGGCCTGTGATACCAGGCAGTGTTTAGCTGCTGTTTTGTGCCTTTGCCTCCCTCGCTGGCAGTCCAGGAGCAGCCACTTCTCACTGCAGTCCCCAAGGCTGCCCTGAGAAGCTCCCTATCTCTTCCTAGCACCCTCTTTCTAACGGAGCTCCCAACAGTCTTGGGCTGGGATGCCTGACAGCACCATTTGTTAAAATGCTGTCTCAAAGAAAATTAAAGGTCAACTTTACTGTAGGAGTTAGGTCACATCATAGTTTTTTAAAGGGCTGCTTAGTAGAAAGGAGATGATTAGATGGCTGACCCCAGAAAATGCTCACCCCAGAGTATCCTGATGCTCCCTCAGGATATTCAGGATACTCTGGGGTGATAGGTTGGGGTGAAGGTAGGGTGTGGCTACTCATTTTCTTCACTTGAAGGGGAGTAGGCTCCCTGGCTTCAAAGCTTGGCTCTGTGATTCACTAGCTTATGGGCAGGCTACTTAATCTCTCTGTGCCCCATCTGTGAAATGGAAATACTAATACTACCTACCTGATAGGTAGTTGTAGCTATGCAGTTACATCTCCTAGTCGTTACCTCTCAGAGCAGTGCTTGGTGCATGGTAAGCACTGTGTGAAGGTCTAGGGTCCTCATCTTTCTGCTCTTTGCTTGCCTTGCTGGAACCCCACTGTGTTTTAAACCACTCTTCCCAAGCCCCACCCCAACTCTGAATTGCAACTGGTTCAACCCTGTGGGCACTTCTGATTTTAGATCCTAAACAACCTGCCTTCTCACCCCTTCATCTGGGAATTCCTCTAACCTAGCGATTTTACCCTGGCTTGAGTCAAGGATGCTAAGACAAGCTGCCTTGAGTGGGGGAGGCCCTTGGAATCTTGGGGCATGACCCTGCCTGATGCATATCCCCCTACCCCCAAATCCCCTAGTTGACTCTAACACCTTAGTTTTATTAATGAGAAAACAGAAGCCCAAAGACGACAAGCACCCTAACCCAGGTCACACCTTAATGGCAGAGCTATGCTGATTTAAGAAAAAGTGTTCTATATATAGAAAAAGCTGTTTCACGAAACCATCCTTCCATTTCTATGGAAATGTCCCCATCTGCAGGCTGCCTCCCGGTGTCTGTGTGTGCACAGAACCAGAAGCTCCTTGGGGACAGGGATGGTGACTCATTCATCCTTCCATCCCTAGCACTGAGCCCAGTGCCTGGCACAAGAAAGTGCCCCAACTCTGAAAAACGTGTGTTTGCATCTGGACACAAGCCAGAAATGGGCAAGGACGGGAAACCAGGAGGCAAGAAAGGCTGGTTTTACTTTTCCCAGCTTGCAGAGAGTGGAGGCACAAACACTTCTCCAGAGAGAAGGCCCCCTTCTGTACCCCAGCACTGGGTAGAAGATTTTTGGGGAGACTGAAGAAGCTGGAGACCTCCCTCACAAACTCTGGACTCTGAAACTCAACCTAAACATGAAATTCTCATGTGCCTGATCTTTCTCACAAACCCTCTGTTCTTACAGTGACTTGGGCCAAAAGCCTGGGACTCGTGATTGGCTCCTCTTTCAAAATACATCTAGAAATGAATTCCTTCACATCTCATCAACTGCCGTGGCCCTGGACTGAATGGTCAGTGCAGTAGAACTATGCTTTGGCTCCTGCGAGCTATTATCAACAGAGCAGCCAGGGTGACCCCATTGAAATGCAAGTTACCCATCACTCTTGTGTTCGGAACTCTCCAACGCCCCCTCCATCTCCCATTTCAGAGAAGAGACCAAGGCCACACAACAGGTGGCCCGCCTCACTCTCCCAGAAACCTGGCCTCCTGCTGTTCCTACCCCACTCTGGAGCCCCACCTCGAAGCCTCCACCCTGACTGTTCCCTCAGAGGGAAGGCATGGCTGCTCCCCTCACTTTCTGTGTTCCAATTCACTTCCTCAATGAGGTCTACACCGACCATAGGGTTTAACTGTAGCCAAAAATCCTGACGCACTAAATCATATTCTTTGATCACATGCCATTGTTTATTGTCTGTCTCTGGCTGCTCAATCTTGCTCACTGCTGAACCCCAAGTACCTAACACAGTAGCTGGCACACAGTACTACTGAATAAATGGAGGACCGTGGGCAGGGAGGGGGTGGTCAGAGGGCAGCAGGGTGCTGAGCTGGAAGGGCCCAAAGGGAGCCTTAACCTCTGTTCTGTGAAGAAGCCGAGGCTGCAGGAGCCACAGCACTGGAGGAAACCAAACTGAAGGTTAACTTTTGATGGCCTGGGATATCTCCCCCCATTGGTTCTGCAGGAAGCACTTTGACCTGGAGGAGGCACGGCTGTGTCTCCAGCTCCTAAGCAGGACCCAGCCCACCAGAAAACGTAACAACTACCACTCATCATGACCCATGCGGGGCAGGCAGGGCCCGGGATCTCAGTGCTGTACCAACACTCTCCTCAGTTTTCAAAGTTTCCTTTGAAAGATCCAGTCCTTCCTCTCTTCACTGAGCTATGGGGAAAGGAAGGGGTGCAGGGGTCAAGTGTCTAAAGGCTGCCAGCCCTCCTGGGAGAACTGGGAAGGGGAGAGCCAGGGGGTCTGGGAGCAGGCCCCATGGGCGGCCGCAGCTCTCCTGGGTAAAGCCTGTTCTGCCCCCAACCTCTCTCGGCCTGAGCTTGCCACTTGTTCACCCCAGGGTCCTCTGGCCAACAGGACTGCCAGGGTAGACCTGGAGGCGCAGGCCCACCTCACCCTCTCTCCCCTGCTGGCCCTGCCCCAGGGAGATGGCCAGGCCCATTTCTGCCGGGTTGACTGCAGCTCTGCGCCTGGCGGGAGGCGCAGGGCAAGGAGCAGGCTGAGCCGGGCGCAGCGGGTCCAAGGCACCAGTGAGGGTCCGGCCCATCGAGGCCAGAGGAGGCGGCGGGTCCGTCTGGTTCCCTCCCAACCCCCCGTCCCCGCGCCCCGGCCGCCCCCGGTTACCTGTGCGAGTCCTGGTCTCCCCCGGGGGACGCTCCCGCCGGCGCTCAGTACGGGCGATTGGCGTCTTTGGGCCGCTTCAGCTGCACCTTGAGCCTCTTCATGCCGATCTGGAAGCCGTTCATGGCCTGGATGGCGGTCTGCGCGCTGGCCGGGTTGTCGAAGCTCACGAAGCCTGGCGAGACACGAGGGACGAGGGCCTGGGTTTCCACGGGGCCGCCCGGGGCGCTGCCGGCGGGGAGGGGAGGGGGACAGGGGGCGGGGCGGGGCGGGCCTGAGGCTCCTCCCCTCGGGCCCCGCACCCGGCCCCGCCCCGGCGCCCGCACCCGCCCAGCCCCGCGCGCGCTAGCGAGGCCCCTCCCGGGGCGGGCGCTGGCAGGGTCCCGGCTAGCGCACCTGCGCCTCGGCTCCGGCCGCGCCACTCGCTGGGCGCCCGCCCCCCACGTGGGGCCCGCGGCCGGGCGGGGCTCAGAGAGGCGCCCGCCCCCCACCCCGGCCGGCCCCGGCACCTCAGCCCTCGCCTCGGCGGGAGAGGGCGGACACACCTGCGGGTGGAGGAGTTTATTGGACACTGTCCTCCCTGACAGGAGGGGGCCTGGCAGCGCGAGGGCACGGGGTGCCGGCCTGGGGAGAGAGACGAGTGCGAGGGGCCGGGAGGGAGGCGCCGCCGAGAAACTTCTCCACCGCCGGCCCAGCCGCCCCCCTCGCCAGCGCGGGCGCCCGGCCGTCGGGGGAGGCCCAGAGGCTGAGCCTTCGCGGTCCCTCCGCCCCCACTCCCGGCCCTGCCCGCCCCGCCAGGCTCCGGGGAGCCCGGGCGCCATCAGCACCTCTCTCCTCCACGCCCTGCGCCGTGGACTAAGCACGCACCAGCTGATAGGTCCCCCGTGATCCCCTCAAGAGCTCCGTGACAAGTCACAAGACCGTCAGTGCAAGTCAGGCCAGAGCCCTCCGTGCAGAGCGCTTCCCACGCGTCCACTCCTGTGCCCAGATGCGGAACCTGGCGGCTCCCAGGCCCAACTGCGCAGGTCCCAGATGGGCAGGGATCATGTTCCCAAAAGGAGGTCAGAAATCACCTTTGAGGAACTTTGAATGCATCTCCTTATACAGACAACACTTTACATCAGCGTTTCCCAAACTGGCCCTCGAAAGTGCTCCTGAGAAAGGGCTTGTGTGGTCAGGAGGCTTAGAGCCAGGCCCAGTGGGCCAGTCCAGCGCACCAGCAAACAACGTTCCCTCCCGCCCCGAGTTTAGTAAATAAACCTTTATAGCTTTGTTTAATCTAGTATTTCCTTGAATTTATTCGACGTTAGAGGCCTTTTCTCCCGCAAAAATGACTTAGATCCTGCGAACTATGTGAAATCTTGGCGAGACACCGAGGCCTTCCCATCAACGTGCCCGTTGCGTGCTGGTCCCCAAATGGCCATTAGGTATGAGAAGCAGACAGAGCCATCCCCGAGTGAAGTAGAAGCCGTCTTCTCAGTTCAATGTCCGTGTTACCTGGGGCCTGCCTCGGACTTCTCTCCAAGAAAGACAGCCCTTCCCCATTCTCCCAACCTGGTGGCTCTTTTTCCCTCTTTCCCTCTGCCCCAGAGGCTGCCTCCACCGTCTCTTTCTCTCCTCTCCTTCCTGCCTTGCTCAAGTTTGCTCCTGCAGCCGAAAGAGGGCAACAATTGGTCAGAGCTGGGCCCAGAGCAACAAAACCAACCTCTGTATAAATATAGATGCCAGAATAAATGGGGAGGATTTCAGCTGATCCATAGTTGGAGATTGGCTTCCAGTGATGTTTCCACCAGCTCCTCTTAGCCCCTCCTGGCCCATCCCCACCTCCGCTGACCTGTATGTCTAACCACTAAAGTCAAGTCCTTCATAAACCAGAGCAGTTTTCAAATATGTGAGTTGTGTATTGATGCTGCTTTCCCCAGAATAAGGAAGGTGGCTGAACAAAAGCCTGTCCCTGTCAGGACAAGGCAGCCTGACTGTGGGGGACATGCTGCCCCTCATTCCTCTCATCATCCACAACAGCTCAAAGAAGGGAGAATAAAGAAGATACAAAGGGCTGGAGGAGCTGTCTAGGGCAGAGGGAGGCAGAGACACTGTGTGGGAAGGGCAGAAAGGAATTCTGGAGGCGGCAGAAGTTCAGCCTTCCTGGAAGAGTTTTGAGGTCCCTGGAACCCTGAGAGTTGAGAAGGAGTCCAGGCTCAAGGGAACTCTTCTTCCCTTGATCTCTTAGTAACTGGCTAGCAGTCAGAGCAGGGTCTGTCTCTCCCTCACAGACCAGAGGCCCCTTTGGCAGGGCTCTGGGCACTGTCTCCCATGTTCATGGTTCCAGGACTGTCTTTCTTCTTCCAGAGCTACCTCTCCTGCTCTCTTCCTACCCTCAGAAAGTTTCTGCTCCCAGGCCCTGTGAGAAGGCCCACAGGTAGAATCTCCCCATGGTGTCCCCACAGCCCTCCTTCCAACATAGGAACAGTTTGTGCTGTCCTGATGAAGGTCTCTGGAAGATTCTGCTTATAAATGTTCATGTGTGCTTATGAAGAGTGAAAGCGGCCTTTGAGGAGTTCACTTTAACATAGGGCCACTTTTACAGCAAAAATAGCACTTTAAGAACAAAGGGGACCTAGTGCTTCCTGAGGGTCTACCCTGGGTAAGCTCCCTCACAGCAGCCCTGGGGCAATAGTTAAAATCCCCTTTTCACAGAGGAAGAGAGAGAGGCCCATTGTCCCTGCAGGAATGCTGAGGTTAGGTCTCACTTTGTTTTTATTTATTTAGTTAGTTAGTTGTTTTTGAGACAGAGTCTCGCTCTGTCACCAGGCTGGAGTGCACTGCAGCCTCTGCCTCCTCGGTTTAAGAGATTCTCCTGCCCCCATCTCCCGAGTAGCTGGGAATACAGGCACCCACCACCACACCCAGCTGATTTTTTTATTTTTAGTAGAGAACAGTTTTCGCCATGTTGACCAGCTGGTCTCGAACTTCTGACCTCAAGTGATCCGCCTGCCTAAGCCTCCCAAAGTGCTGGGATTACAGGCACAAGCCACTGCACCCAGCCTAGTTCTCACTTTCAAGGGTTCTGGGATACTGGCAGAAAGTTCAGCTGCCTGGTGTGAGAGAGAGAACCCAAGTGGCTTAACCAGGAACAGCTAGGCTCAACCAGCATCTTGGGAGTCTGTCCTTTGTTCAGGGCTGGTATGTTTGACATCAGAAGTTTGTTCAAGAGGAGAGAGCTAGATTAGAGATATACAGAGGATGTTCCTTTAAAAAGCAGGGGGAAAAAAACTGTGGTCCTGGCTAATTTAAGTGGGCTAATAGCTTAAAGAGGGTAGTGCCTGGAGCAGACTGCTAGGAAATGCTTTCAGAAAGCCGGGCTGCACCCACAACTGGGACAGTGCAAATAAGCCAAGCCCGGCTATGGCTGGAGACTAAACCTGTTCCAGCAGAGGTGCCCAGAGCTGCCTGGGCTCTCAGCAGTGCTATTCTCATTGATGTAGCATTTGGGACTTACTTAAGGAGCAGATGCAACTGACTTCCAGCTTGCTGTTTTTACATACATAACTGTAATTCATACAGAGAAATACCAAAGAGCAGAGGGCTGCAAACCTGTCTATTGCTTTTGCTTTGTTTTTCCACCCCCAGAGAGAAATGAGCTACTGTGGCAAATCCATGCCATTGAAAGACCACAAGTTTCCTGTGGCAGCTCCAGAGGGGAAGGGAAGACCGTGCAAAGATCTTGACTACTTTGGGGAACGTGCTCTGAATCCTCAGGCCCTTCATGATTCCAGGAAGTTGGACTCCAGACTGAAACTCCTTAACATGTGCTTCCTGATGCTGCTCCACTCCTGTCCCCTCTCCCCTCCACCACCCCTAACTGTGACCTGGGTTCCTTGGCAACACAGCCTCCTACTCTCTCCTCACAGCCCCAGAATCTGGGGTTAGCCTAGAGATACTGAGTTTCCGGCAGATTCAGCTCTGGTTCCATGTGTGGCTCTCTGGGGACTGGACTCTTCATTCCTCGCGACTTAGGCGTGGGTCTGGCCCGGAAGGAAGGGCTGATGGAGAACGATGAGGAGGTCAGAGAGGAACAGGGAGGAGTGAAGCAGAGAGGGTGAAATGAGATTCCAGGAGGAGGTCTGATGCTTCCCGGATAGGGTTGCCAGACTTAGCAAATAAAAACACAGGATGCCAGTTACATTTAAGGTTCAGATCCACAAGAAATACTTTTTTACTATAAGTACACACTTATACTAAAAATGTATCTTTCTTCTATCTGAAATTTAAATGTAACTGGTCATCCTGTATTTTATCTGACAGCCATACTTCTGGATGCTTCCAAGTTTTCCCTCTCCAATATTACACCGTGCCCTGGGCACATTTCCTGCAAGCTATATTCTTATTACTCAGCTCAAGGACCTCCCATTATTTCCACTGCCTACCACACCCCAGGAGACATCCTCATCTGCATAGCAGAACCCCCACAGCACAGACACCCCACCCAGTGCCTGGTCTCCCTCCTGCTGTTCTCTGGCTCACCTCACCCCAGCCCCATGCCTTCCTTATCCAAGTCTCCCCACCTGGAGTTCCCTCCCTTCCATTTGTGTATTTACATCCAGCTGCCTTTCATATCTCTCGGTTATTTGGTGCCTCGCAGATTTCACTGCTGTAAACAGAATTTTTATCTAAGCTCAGTGCTTAGGCTTCCTGAGGGCAGGGACCAGTCTCCTCTTCCTGACTCCTCAACAATGCCCAGCTCTGGTGGCCTGAGGCAAGTGAATGGGAAGGGCAGGAGGGGAGCAAAAAGCAAGGTAGACCGAGAGGAGGAGTAGGGGCAGGACAGAGCTGGAGAGAGGAGGCGAAGGGGCGGGGAGGAGAGGAGGCTGGCTAGGTGACTGCCCTGCCCAGGTGTTATGCTCTGCTTTTCCCGGGGGCTCAGGCCAGCTCTCCTGGTCAGACCATGAGAAGAGAGGGACTACTAGGGGAATGGGTGTTGCTGGGCTCTGCCTACTGCCCCTCCTGCCCCTGCTCAAAGTGGACCCTTTCCCTTCTCAGTCGGTTGGAATTTGGCTGGAAGAGGAAACCCATTGACTGGGAGTGGGAGATGGGGAGCCGGGTGGGGTAGGTAGGGAAAGCCAAGAAGCCTAAAGAGCAGTGGGAGAGAGAACGGTGAGATGAGGCTGGCAAGGACCAGGGAGCAGCTGGGGCGGGCGATGTGAAGGAGCAGGTGAAAAGCAGTCGGACACCGGTAGGTTGGTGCGAGCACCGCCCTGTCCTAGGTGAAGCTAATTGGTTTGTTATCTTTACCCACCAAAGCATTTACTTTGGTTAGTCGCCCGATCCACAAACACTTTCGAGGAGATGACATTACCGAAAGGGAGGAACATCTGCATCAGCTCAGCGTCCCCAAACTCCTGGGGCAGATGGTAGATGAACAGGTTACAGCCCTCGGGCCCTGCGGTGAGGGGAGGGGATGGGCGGGGGAGGAGGGATGGCGGGGTAGGGGAAGAGAGAGACAGAGGAGAGGTGAGCGAGTTAGGCAGCGCAGCAGGGAGGGGTGGGGGCAAGGTTAGGAGGGGGGGTCTCATTCCAGATCCAAGGGTGTCCCGGAAGAGTCAGGGATGCTGAGCTCCGGGTCTGAGCTCCAGTCTCTGCTCTGCCCTTGGGCAAGTCACTGAACCTCTCTGTGCCTCAGTCACCTTTTCTATAAAATGGATCCCTAACTAAGGCTTGGAAACCATAGGGCTCCAGGGGCGGAGTCAACCTCCTGCTGTGTCTCTGGAAACCAGGTGAGAGGAGAGGGAAGGCCCAGAAGATCCGGCTGCCCAGCCCCTGCTCTGGGGGAACCAGGACATCCCCTGGGGCAGCCATGTCCTACGCTGGGAGACATTCTACTTTCCCCTCTCGCAGGCCAGGCTTAGACTGTAGGAGAGGGGGTGGCAATCCTCCCCCTGGCCTGCAGCCTCTCCTTCCCATCTGGCCCTGATGGCCCAACTGTCCTGTCTGCTTCCTCATACCCAGGAAACCAGGATTTATCCTGCCTCCTCCTGTGTGGGTGTGTGGGAAGGGCTGCAACCCAGGCTCTATGAGAAGCCAGGGAACCCTCCAGCCTCACGACATGAAGATTCTTCATTTCGTTACCACAGTAACAGCCCTGCAAACTTCAACAGCACGAACTATGTGTCGGGCTGTTCTGAGCTAACTCGCTTCATCCTTACAGCAGCTTTATTATCGTCATTCTCACTTCACAGATGAGGAAACGAGGCCCAGAGAGGTTAAGTCACCTGCCACACAGCTGGGAGAGGGCTGGAGCCAGGCTATGAGCCCGGACTGTCTGTCTCCATGGTGTGAGTTCTCTCCTTCTTCCTACCAAAAATCTCAATACCCCCGGCCCCCTGAACACTGTGGAGGACTTTAGCTTTCTAAATTTCCACTAGCTATTTACCTGTTTCTTTTTAAAGAGTCAAAATGCTCAATTTTAACTCTTTGAAATGGAAATCATTCCAAGATGCATGCTAGATAGCATAATGCCACATGTAATTTCACTTTTTAAAGTGACTTGTGGTCATTTCAGTGATGGCATCCAAGCTATAGTGGGAAGGGGAAGGAAACAGCTGCACTTAGAGTTGAGTAAGAAGCGAGGTTCTGATCAGCAGCTGCTGGAAACCCAGGCATGAGCTTAAAAGTGAAGGCTGTAAGGCACCGACATGGGCCGCTCCATGGCTTTTACAGCCACAATCAACCATCCTTGTTCTCTGGGAGCAGCGAGGCTGCCAAGCAACCCAGTTGTGGAGCAAAGGCTCTATCTAGAGTCTCTGCCCTTTCTCTTCTTCTGCTCCTCTACCTTCCACTCTCCTCCTCCTTTTCTCCATCTGTCTCTATCCCCTCGGGGTCCACAGCCTACAGCAAAAATTTCCCCAACCCCTAAAGCTGCTGAAGGAGCCGCTTGGCCTTCTCCCTCCTTGGTGCTCACCCTGTGCCCTCTGCCCACCCCAGCCCTCTGGCCTCCCTTCCATGGACAACTGGCTCCCAGGCATCCTGCCAGGTGACGGCGCATTCAGATCCAGACACAAATGTGCTCCCTCACCCTCTTCCAGGGGTTCCTAGTGCTGGATACCCCTGAGCTCTGGTGGCCCTCCCCTCACCCTGTCCCCTCCAACCATGCTGTCTTCCCACTGGTTCACGCCCTGTGAATGTGCCCTTGATGGCCCCCAGCTCCCCATAGCCTCCCTATCTGAAAGGACCTCCAGCCTCTCCCTGCTCATGCCCCAAGTCCATACTCCATCCTCTGCGGGAGGGGCTCTTTCTCCTTTATGTCTGGAGATTTTCTCTCCAACCAGACTGGCTGCTCCCAGGCACATGCACCTTTTCATGTCCTCCTGCCCAGTCCCCCTCCAGCCCCGCCAACACCTTCCTTCCTCTCCCATCCTCACTCTTCCAGGCCCTGACTGCTCCACCCCATGCTGACTCTTGACTTGGGGCCCTGGCTCCAAGTTCAAGTTCTGCAAGCTGCTTTATGTGGAAGCTGCATCTGTTCTCCTTAGAAACAAGGAGGCTTGACAGACAGGGCTCACAGGCTCAGTCCCAGGTGCAGGGTGTGTGGCGGAGCCCCAGGGAAGACTGTCCAGCCCAGGCCTGACCGGGAAGCCAGAGCAGCCACTCTGGACCCTTCCCCTGGACAGTGAGCCCACACACTGTCTAACTCCAGCTGCCGCCAAACCCTTCTGTACTCCCTCATTCACAGATTACAGAACGTGCAGATGGCAGAGCTGGCAGGACTTTAGAGACCAATCTGGTCCACTCCAGCCTTCTGAGAAATGGTGAAGTGGAGCTGCAGCATCAGAAAGCAGCTACCCCTGACCACCCTGCAGCCCTGGCAGAGCCGCTGTGGCAGCCATCCCTGAGGGCAACCTCGTCTCATCTCTGGGGCAGATGGCCTCTGGGGGATTCAGGCATCTGTCAGTTTTCAGGCTCAGCTCAAAGATGAGGAGTCAGCAGAAGTGTCCTCCCCTGCTCAAAGAATATCCTGATATTTCCATGGCATTCTATATGGGGAGGGGACCATGATGTAAAGAGGCCAACTCTTGGCAGGGCTTGAGGTACACAGCCTTCTTTCTTATCCAAGCCTTGGACACCTCTGTGGGACACAGCTTTGGGACTCCAGCCCACCTTGCGTCCGCCTCTCCCTGGCCCTGCGCTCACCTTGGACTCTGCAGCAGCTGTACCATTGCTCCCACTGCTCCCCCTGTCTGGACCGCCTGCCTCCCCAGCTCTATGAGCTGCCAGCCTCTGCCCATCCTTCCAGACCCACAAAAGCCTTCCTGACAAGCCAATCCCAGTGCCACATTCTCACCCACTCATGCCGAGCGGCTCTGTTGGTATCGTGTGTTACCCTTCTCCATCCCCTGCTTCCCTGAGGTGGCTCAACCCATGCACCATGGCCTGGGAAAATGGGGACAATCGTGGCAGATCCCACCACCCCAAGGAGAGGCTGGAGCCAAGACTGGCCGCACAGGGCCTAGACTAGGGAGCAGGGTTGGGGAGCAGGAACTGTAGCTCCTCAGAGCCGGAGAGAAGGAATGAGGAGGAGTTCAGAGCTAGGCACATGGGGTAGTGCAGAGCATGGAGTAGGAGAGGGGCAGGAGGGTCCATGAGGGCCTGAGTTTGTTTAAGGCCTGCAGTAGGGGCTGTCATGTTTGTTGGGCAGGGTGGCATTGACCTGCAGCTGTGTGGGGGTTGGGGCAGGATTTAGAGACCCCTGAGTCAACAGGTCAGGTGATTCAGGGAGCTGACGATGGCCTGAAACTAGTGGGAGAAAAAATAGCAGGGCCTGTGGGCACAGCATTCTGTTCTGGACCTGGAGCAAGCAACATGGGGACTCCTGAACCCCACCCCTTGTGGCCCTGGTCTGACTGATAAAGGCTTGGACTGGGGAGAAGGAAAGGGCAGGGCAGGCCCAGGGCTGCAGCCAAATGAGGGGACCTCCCACCCCCACTTCACCAGCGGTAGCCCAGTGTCCCTCAGCTGCAGCAGCGTGAGGCAGGGGACAGGTTGGGCCTTCCTGTCCACCCCTCTGAGTTCCTGTAGCTTGGATCTCCTGGGCGTGGGAAGCCCTGATGTCCCGGATCTCAGAAGCTGCCTGCTGGGTGTGAGCTGGGGCAGTATGTCTCATGCACAGCCTTGGAAGGGGTGCTAGCTTGGTAAAGGAAAGGTGGTGCGCACAGACACTTGCGGAATGGAGTTTGGGGGCAGACTCAGCCGGCTTGGTCCTCAGAGCCCCCGCCGAAAGCTCCCCACTCTCCTCACTTTCTGGTGAGGACACTGAGGCTGAAGGGATGGAGTGATTTTTTTCAGAGTCACAGGGGAAGGAGGTGGCAGAGTCTCACCCAGAAGGGTGTTCTCTGAAGCCCGAGCTCTCAGCCAGGCAGGCTCTGGCACCTGTTTGGGGTCCCTCACTGGGCCTGTCAAGTGATGTTGGCCAGCCCACTCTTTGGTTCCTTCCCAGGACTAACCTACATCCCAGAGCTCCAGGACACTGTGCTGCAGGGGCTACGAGGCAGGGTTCTGGAGGCCACTGGAAGGCTCTGAGCACACGGGCTGCTGGGGCAGCTTCCGTGCCTCGATACCTAGTGACCATTTCCATGGGGATGGAGAGGACAGGACCTTGTTAGTGTCCTGGCCCTCAAGCTGGGCTCTCTGTGCCAGGCTCACAGGGTCCCAGAGGGTGGGCCTATTCATTCAGCCTCCTGTCTTCCTGCTTATGTGGGCCTCTAGGCACTGGGATGGGAGAACACTGACTTGCATTCTGAGGTCCCTGCCATTCGACCCAAGAATCTTGCTGTCCTTCCCTGTTCACATCAGGGCCTTGGGTCACAGCTTTCCAGGAGCATCCCCTTCTTCCACTGCACTGGGGCACTCTCATCTCTTCTCATCCTGCCCAGGCAGTCGTCCTGCCCTGGGAGCTCCACCTGCCTCTCCTGGTGACTCAGAGGGCACAGCTTCTGTGGTTGATAAACTCATCTCCCTGTCCCATTCCCCTCCACCATGAGCACTCCCACTTCTCCCCATCCTCCCCTCTGGCCAAATCCTGCCCACCACGGGAGGGGGATTCTTGGACCTCACCTCCTCTGGGGCCTCCCCTTCTTGACCTTCTCAGCCTGGCTACCAGCTTTTCCTTAATGCGCACAGCTATCAGAGCTGGTTCTGCAAACTCCACCATACTGTTGGAGTCTCACCTCCCAGCTGTGCCCCCTGGGAACACAGTGGTGTGCCCTCCAATGAAGACCCCAAGGATGAGCCTCTATCTCCTCTGGAAGACTAGAAACTCCCTGGGACAGGGACAAGGCCTCTACTAGCACACACAGGTCTAACCTCTGCTAGGTTCTGTTTAAGGGATGGTTCAAGGGCTTGCCAAGGAAGAAAGACAAACCCAACCGTTCAGAAGGGGTTCTTATAGACCAAGGTATGGATATGTGAGCTGTGGCAGGCCAGCAGCAATGATGGAGGGGAGTAGGAAAGCCAGCTCATGTGGGACCTGCTGGCCCTTAGGGCATTCTTTCCAGGCCCCTGCCCCCGGGTCAGGTGCAGAGCTGCCCACAGGAAGCGCACCTCCACCCTCAGGTTGGAGAGCCGCTCCTTACAACCCTGCTGTCCTCCCTTGCCCACTTCAACACAGCACACAAACGTGGCCACCTTTCACACACCCCAGCCCAAGGCCCAGGTGAGCAGCCTCTTTGGGGAGAACGGAGGGGAGGGGCCCAGGAGTTGGCCTGCAGACTCACCTTCTCTCTGCTGCTGGGGGATCATTGGAGGCGGCTGAGGAAAGGCCTGGCTTATCTGACCATAGGCAGCAGGGTAGGCGGCTGCTGGAGGCCCAAGACAAGAAGCAAGAGCCGGCGACAGGGCAGAGAGTGGAAGCAGGAAGAAAAAGAGATTTCAGTGCAGGCAGTAAAAGCAGACCAGCCAAAAGCGCCCTGCCCCTCAGCCACTTAGGACAAAGCCAGCTTTCAGTTCCCGGACTAATAGAGGAGCTGCAGGGTAAAGACTGGAAATGTGTGTGTGTGTGTGTGTGTGTGTGTGTGTGTGTGTGTACATTACATACGTACATGCACATGCGCATGTGTCTGTGTTTCGGGGGTGGCAAGTTTAATTTGAAATAGTGGATAAACCACGTGTGCATAACACACAATCATGGATAATCAGAAACACCAAAACGGCCTGGACAAGATCTCCCCACACCACCTGGTAATCCCCCACTTCTCTGAGCCACAGCTGACTCCAGTTGGCAGGCCTTCATTCCCACTCAGATGGCACCTGTGTGGGACGTGGGGGGTCACCAGAGGTATGGAACTAGCCTCTGGGAAGGCTGCCAAGGGGTAGTCCCAGGGACAGAGGACTGAGTTGGATAAACCTGATTGTCCAACTGTAAAGGGCCTGGGGTGTGACAGGAGTGGCCAGCTCCCTCCTCTGTCTGGCTCAGCTCCCACAGCAGCGGAGCCTGAGGACAGAGCTCAAGGGACCCAATAAGTGACAGCACCTCTTCTGGGCTCTAGATGGGCCAGACCAGCTTCACCTCAGTCCCCCCACCCCTCTCCAGGCAGCCCCACACATTCATGGGAGACAGCACAGGGAAGAGAGACCCTAACAGGGTCAGGCAGTAGGACACAGGCTAGGCAGGGAGGATTATGGGGTGCTGTGCAGTCCCAGGGTGAGAGAAAGACAGGCTTGGCTGACAGCTCGGCTTGGGCTCGGTGACCCCAGGCCTTCTGCTCACTCAGTGCTGTCCCTTCCCACCTCTCCTCCTTTGCTCCCTGTCCCACCTGCTGGGGCCCCATCCTGCTGACTGTTGTGGGGAGGGCTGTGGGGGCTGGGGAGACGGCATCTCTTCTAGAGGCCCTCTTTCTCTCAAACCAGGCATCTGTGCTTCCTGGGCCAGTGACGGTGACCAATGGTGGGCAGCACCTGGGTCCAGCCTGGCCTGGTGTCAGACCTGGTACCCCTGGGCAAACTGGCCCTGTTAGTTCCATAGGGAAGGGAAATCAGGCCTCAAAGACAAGTAACACCCAGCAAGGGTGAAGCTTCCGCCTGGCCTCCCCACGTGCCTAAATTTCCACCAGCCCCCACTGCAGGGGCACTCTAGGTGCCCCGCTGACAAGAAGGCAGCCTGGAGGGTCTCTGCCAGCACAGGCCTCCCTCCTTCCACTCTCTGCCCACCCCATGCAGTGCTGGGCCCAGCTCTGAGGGGGCACTGGTGTCACAGGCATGGAGAGAGAAACGAAGTTGGGGAAAGAGCCGTGGGGACCCGTGGATACTAACGACCTGCATACTGCTGCACTCCGGCGTAGGCCTGCTGCAGGGGGTCCGCGGCGGTGGGGCTCTGCGCTGTAAGGAGCCAAGGGGACAGAGGTCAGCAGTGCCCACCACACTGGCCCTTCCCCCCATGCCCATGGGGACAATGATGCAGCTGTACCACCTTTCCTGGCTATTGCAGGCTCTGCTCTGGGGTAGGGCATCTGAGACAGACACCTTGAGTGCCTGGATCCTCTGGGGGTTGCCCGCCCTAGACCTTGGCAGGGTAGAGAGTTGCCCACCCTGGCTGGGGGATGCAGGCTGCAGTTGGCCTAGGGTTGGGGTGAGATGGGGGCTCACGAAGAGCACTGTGGAGGGTTGGGGAGGAGACGCCAAGGAAGCCTCAACACTGAGGCTGGTGGGGATGCATGAGGGCCCCAGCACTGCAGAAGGGTTGTGGGGAAAGGGGACAGGAGCTGGAGACTGTTGCCGGGTGGTGGGCTTATTCTTCACGATCCTCAGTGGAAGTGGAGGACAGTGAATGAAGGGACAGCCTGGCAGCTCCAGGTGGGTGAAAGAAAGGGCAAGAAGGCCTCACCCTACCACTTTGTCCTCCTGGGCCACTGTGCCACAGAGGGACCCACCCTCACTGTCAGGGAAGCTACATGAGGCATGTAGGTCTTCCACTCCTAGCCCTTGGCCAAGTCCTCTCAGCAGGGACCAGCCACACAAAGGAGGTCTTCCTAGCAGACCGGGAGTGGGATGTTGCCCACAGAACCGAGGAACCAGAAGACCAAGGACCTTCCTCCTGTCTTCTGACACTGTGACCCTGCGATGTCTCCTGCCTAGTGGGAAGAGAGGTCCCCTGAACTGATACTTTGGCAAGAAACTCAGGGAAGCTGGGCCGAGGGAAAGGCCTGGTTCCCTTCTGTTGCCTTTGCTGTCTCTGCAGAGGCTGTGGGCAAAAGCTTGAAGCATGGGCCAGCAGTAGGCACTGGTTTTGGTGACCAAGGCTGGTGGTGACTAATGTGGGAGTGGGCTGGCCTTGGGGGCCCAGAGAGGTGGTAAAGGCAGCGGCTGCCCAGAGGGAGGATGGAGCCCTAAGATGGCTTGAGGGAAAACCGGATAACACAAGGTGGCAGGAAGGAACTATCTGGGCTTATCTGCCTGTCAACTCAGGCCAGCTAAGCTAACTGGCCCCAGGCTTTGGGACCTTTGGTCTAGGGAGAGTGCCCCAACTTCCCTTCTAAGCACGTTTCCCTATCTCAGTAAAATTCCATTAGAAAAAGAGCATCTGGGCTTGGTGTGGTGGCTCACACCTATAATCCCAGCACTTCGGGAGGCCAAGGCAGGTGGATCACCTGAGGTCAGGAGTTCAAGACCAGCCTGGCCAACATGGTGAAACCCCGTCTCTACGAAAAATACAAAAAATTAGCTGGGTGTGGTAGTGGACACCTGTAATCCCAGCTACTCAAGAGGCTGAAGCAGGAGAATTGCTTGAACCCGGGAGGCAGAGGTTGCAGTAAGCCAAGATTTCACCATTGCACTCCAGCCTGGGTGACAGAGTGAGACTCTGTCTCAAAAAAAAAAAAAAAAGAAAAAAAAAAGAAAAAAAAGAAAGGAAAGGAAAGGAAGAAAGAAAGAGAGAGAGAGAAAGAGAGCACCTGGAACTGAGAGGTGCCCAGGGAAAAGCCTGGTGCAGAGGTCCCTGGAGACAGTGGGACAGTAGGTTCCACAGCCCCCAGAAGCAGGATGTGGCAAGGGAGCTCGACCTATGAGGGCTCTGTTCAGCTGTGGGGAGCTGAAGATGGGCTACAATGCAGGTTCCTTCTTGCTTGGGGCTGTCCCAGTCCCACACCCTGTCTCTCTGTTTCCCCCATGGTAAGGCTGGAACAAAGGGCTCCCCAGTGTCATGTGCTTGGCAGGGTGGTCTCCTCCCTGCCTTCCCTCTGCCCCTCTGCTCTGCCAGCCTCTCAGCTCTATGGAGGGAGAACCGTGTCCAGATTGTGCTCTTGGTCTTTCCAGCGGCTCACCCATGCTGTGTCTTTATGCAAATTAGAAAAGCGTGCCCCTTCCTTTGGGTACACGGTTTGGTGCCCTCATGCAAAATATAACCTGCACGATTTGCATGGCAGCCTCCAGCACAGTGCCAGGAACATCATAAGCATCTGACAAAGAGGACGATGAAAAGAATGAACGAACAATCTTCAATGTTTGTGAGAGCCACCCCTTCAAGGGTATTTATATGACAGTAAAGGCCACACTGTGTGCATCCAGCAAGAACCCAAGAGGGGAGATCAGAAAACTACCTGGGGCTAGGAAGCAGAGAAAAGCATTTATGAGACCCCTCTCTACTTCTCTGCTTAACGACCTCGTTAGTAACTGCCAAAGAGTGAACGTTTTGAAGGATCTCGCTCATTACAGCAGATCCAAACTCTGCATTTAAAGATGGTAAATTAATTTTTTAAATGTACTACTTTTCTCCTTTCCTTCCCTCCATCCCTCCCTCCCTCCCTCTTGCTCTGGCAGGGAATTGTTTATGAGATGTGGCAGATTGTTACAAATAGGGGAAAGAAACATTTCCAAATTCCATGAGGGAAATAGCTCACAGATGCTGGAGGGGGTGGGGAAGGAGCAGGTTTATCAGGATCCAGAGATCGATCCAGATGGGCTTGTGGGCAAGGAGAGGTGGGAAATGAAGCCGCCAGATGTGCTGGGGATCCCATCTCCCAGCCCATGAACCTGAGACTGGTGGGATCTCTTCCCCCGGTACCTCCAGCTTGCCTAGCCCCTCCCCTACCACCCTACCAGCTTGGGGCCATCATCCTTAAACAATACCCCAGATCCTTAGAGTCCCATCACTTCACTCTCTAGACTCCTATGGCCTCTTCTTAATGGACTGAGGGGTATATCATGGGGCAAGCCCTGGAATGGGGAATGGGACAACTCCAACTTCAAAGTCAGAAAATTCTCCTCTATTTCTCTCTAGTACAGTGACCTTGCACTCTGCTGCTGGTGGGACTTTTTTTTTTTTTTTTTTTGAGATGGAGTCTTGCTCTGTTGCCCAGTCTGGAGCACAGTGCCACAATCTAGGCTCACTGCAACCTCTGCCTCCTGGGTCAAGTGACTCTTCTGCCTCAGCCTCCTGAGTAGCTGGGACTACAGACATGCACCACCATGACTGGCTCATTTTTTGTATTTTTGGTAAAAGTGGTTTACATCGTGTTGACCAGGCTGGTCTCGAACTCCTGACCTCAAGTGATTCACCCACCTTGGCCTCCCAAAGTGCTAGGATTACAGTGTGAGCCACCATGTCCAGCCCTGGTGGGACTTTTATATACTACAAATGCCTAAACTGCACTCCAGACAGGGAAATGAGAATGTCTGGGCTTCTGTGATTATATAAAGGCCCACAGTAGATTCTGATGGGTACCCAAAGTGGGGAACAGGACCCAGCCCCTGCTGCCAATCCACTTTGGGCTGGCCTGCCTGCCTGTACGCCAACCTCCTTACCACCACCACTCTTGCCAGGCAGGCCCCTCTACAGGAGGGTGTTCCCTGTTTATCTTCACCTTTCCAATTCTTGCCCATCTGTTAAAGCTCAATGGTAGCTTCCTCCCTGGGGAGGCTCTTTTGGGCTTCTTCAGCCTATAGAACCCTCCATTCATTTGGATCCTTTAGCATTTTAAATCTGAGAACATTCACTCTTGATGAAACTTAATTCTGCCTTATTGTCTCATCATTGTGTAGACTTAGACTGTGTTCTCAATGGACTCTGACCTCCCAAATGATAGGTCCATGTCCCGCCCTCCTTTTTGGGCCCCCCTTTCCCACCCCAAACTGGGCAGTTACTGATACTTACAAGGACTTTAACCTTATCCTCTGCCCTCCAGGAAGGCGGCACTCTTCACATCTCGAGAACATTGGCCTTAGAGCCTACTACAGGGCTTTGGGCCCAGCTTCCCTACCCTGATAGTAGCCCATTCTCCAGACCAGGGAGAAGAGCTGCTTCAGACCAACTGGACACTCTTACCGTGTGAGGATGGCTAAGTTTGAGGAACAAAGTTAATCAGGAGCAGGCCTCCTGGATCTTCCTGTGTTCTAGGCTTTTTGAAAAGAGGGTTTAGGAGCTGTCCAAGATGCTGGGCGGTCTGAAGTGCTGAGCTGTCCAGGGTGCTGATCGCGTTCTATGTGCAACAAGGGACAGGACTGGTCTCTATTAGCCAGACTGCCAATGATTATACCTCCCTCCACTCCTTTCCCAGAGTCTTTTCCTACTTAACACTAACCCTGATTGTTCTTCTAGTTTCTATCCCCTTACTTCTTGTAGGTTAAATTCACACTCAATTATTTTGCACTTACTCACCTCTCTACATGGTTGTACAACTGCACTCAGTCTCCTTTCTTCGCTAAGAGAGTACCTGGAATGGGGTTCTGTCTCCCTGATTAGAATGACATCTCCCCAAGGGCAGGATTTTGGTCTCTTTTCTGCCATCATGGGCTCCCTGAAGGAAGATGGGAGGCTGGCCCCCTCTGATCATAGAGTTTCATCAAGAAATGGAAAGAGGGCAGGAGCCACATCTTGTTATAACAGCAAGAGCAGGAAGAGCATGGATAAAGAAAGTGCTGCACAGGGAAGGAAGTGCTACTAGATGTGCTTACCTGGGTAGGGATGGATGCCATTGGCGAACACGGCTTCCGCAGCAGGTTGCCCATTGGCCTGTGGGGGGAGGCCGGTGAAGCCGTTCACCCCAATGGGGGACGGAATGCTAGGCACGGCTGGTGCAGTGATGCCCGGAGGGGTGCTGCCACCTGGTTCCAGGGATGTGGAGTAATGAAGGAGGGGAGGCAAGCAGAACAGACGTGAGGAAGGTCCACCCATAAAGCTCTACTCAACTGTTTCCAAGGACCTGTGGATAGACTTGGACCTCACATACCAGCTCAATCTTATCTATGACCCATGCCTTGGCTTATCTCCCTATATGAAGCGACTTCACATATCCCAACTGCATCTATCCTTCCAGGCAGAGTCCAAATTCCACCTGCCCAGGGAAGATATCTCTGACCCTTTTGGCTTGTCCTTAGCACACAGACTACTCTCAATGCCCTTGACTGTAACCACACTTGTTCCTCCTTCAGCCATTTTTCTTTCTTTCTTTTTTTTTTTTTTAGATAGTCTTGCACTGTTGCCCAGGCTGGAGTACAGTGGTGCAATCGTGGTTTACTGCAACTTCCGCCTCCCAGGTTCAAGAGATTCTCCTGCCTCAGCTTCCCAAGTAGCTGGGACTACCACCATGCACCACAACACCCAGCTATTTTTTGTATTTTTTAGTAGAGACAGGGTTTCATCATGTTAGCCAGGCGGGTCTTGAACTTCTGACCTCAAGTGATCCACCCACCTCAGCCTCTTAAAGTGCTGAGATTAAAGGTGTGAGCCACTGTGCCTGGCCTTCCTTCAGTCTTTTTCAGTGTTCTTGCTCTCTCCAGCTAAGGCAGAATTAGCTGGTCTTTACCTGGTCAGTAGGGGGCTTGATATACCTCTCCAGGAAGTTTTTCTGCTCAGATGGAGTAGGTCTTAATTCTGGCATTCTCTTGTACTGAGGCAGAGAAGTTGTTATAGAGCCCAGACTCAGCTCTAGCTCATACACAAAGTAGACACCTCGGTCTCCTCCAGTTGAAGCAATGGTAGTGGTCATGATGGTGAGGATAAAGTTGGGGTCAAATGACAATACCCTGTGTCCTCCCTATGCCAGGTGGGTGGAACCTGAGATGTGGATATTATGGTGATTGCACTGAGGTCCCAGAGGCTGGAAAGGGCCTTCCTCTCACGTAGGAACCAGGGTACCTCTGAGAACATGGACCTGAGTCTGGCCCACTGCCTGGATTCATGTGTATCCCTTGAAGGGGGTACACATGGGGATCAGAGGCGGAGGGTAGTGTTCCAGCTGAGCCCAGAGATGGCGCAGTCATTGTGGCTTTCGACTGGGAAAGGAACGGCTCTGAGATGTTAGGAAAGTTGCTGCTGTGGCCTGGGCACAGAGAGCTGAGGAAGCTCAGTGAATCAGTGCCTGGGGTGCAGGAGCATTTCTCAACTTTGACACTATTACAATTTGGGGCCAGAAATTTCCTTGTAGTGGCTGTCCTGTGCACTATAGGATGTATAGCAATATCCCTGGCCTCTACCCACTAGATTTCAATAGCAATCCCCACTCCCAGTTGTGACAGTTGAAAATGTCTACAGATGTCCTGGGAGTTTGGGGGAATAACTGCAACAGTTGAGACTCACTGGACTGGACAATAGCCAAGATTCAATAAAAAACATGACTTGTAAGCTGGATCATTTCCAAGCTCCTGTCCCTTGATAACTCTTGTGTTTCTCTCTATCTTGTTGCAGAGTTGTCTCAAAAAAAGCCAGTGAGTTTAGGTTGGGTTAAAGGGAAATGAAAGCAAGCAAACAAAAAACCAAATGAGTTCCTTCTGTGCTTGGGCCAGGGACTGAACAAGGCCACAGACAAGGCTCTTTTCCTCATAGACACTATAGGGCGATGTCTTCATGTCAATTTCTTTCCAGATCTCTATTGTTAATAGAGATTAAGACACACTGTTTCCTGACACAGTTAAGCAACTTGAGAGGAATCTGCCCCACCCTGAAATCACACGGTGGACTGACTGCGTGGGTGCCACGTCTCATCTTTCCTTGGATCCCCAGGGATTAGAGCATTTTTGAGACAAACTGTCAGAAGGCAAGGCCTCTTGGGCTCAGACGCTATGGTTTCTTGCCACAGAATTGTCTGCTGGTAGCTGAAATTAGGTCCCAGCCTGGACCAGCTGCTCTCCCACCGGGCTAGACCCTGTGTAGGCACCTGCCAGCTCACCTGAGGTTGGGGTCATAGGTGCGGCCGCCAGGCCATTCATGTTGAGGGCCGCCATCTGCTGCATCTGGGCGGCAGCGAAGGCAGCCATGGGGTTCAGGTAGCCACCCTGCGCAACAGACGCCATCAGGGCTGCTTGCTGCTGCATCAGCTGGGGCAGAGGGAGTGGAAAAAATATCACGTGCTTCCAGAGGGCATCCCTCCCCAACAAGGGCCTCAGTTCCTGGAGACTAACCTCCCAGGCTCTGAGCCCCAGAGACCCCAGACATTCTCCCAGCCAGCACCCCAGAAAGCCCTGATGCCTCTCCCATTCTTGCCCTGTATTTCAACAGCTATTAGAAGCCACCGCCCTGAGAGGTGACTGTATTTAAAAGTAACAGTAAGGTCTTTGGAATTCTGAAGTTGTTGTGGTGGGCAGGGGAGGAGACTGGCTCCATGGGTGCGGGTCAGCCCTGTGTAAGGCCTGTCATTCGTGGGGATGCGGCATCCACAGCACTAGAGACATGCAAAGGAAGTTCTGAGCCTCTGCAGAACTTCCTTAGCACAGATTTCTGTCCAGAATAGTTTTAATTTGGAGTCTGTTGGTAGAAGTGACAGGAGAATTATGAATAGAACCCCAGGCACCACCAGTGTTGTCACAAAGGTGAGTGTGAACAGGGGAGGCCACAGAATGTGGCCAAGGTGGGCAGCACTGCACAAGTGAGGTGCACCTGTGTTTTCAGACCCAGAGCGGTGGCCTGCCTCCGTGCCACCCACATGGGGGCTGTGGTAACCATCTGGAGGCAGCTCTGGGAGAGGCTGACAGAGTGAGCCCCAACGTGGAAGAAAGAAGTAGGTGGGCCAGAGGCCTAAGGGGATATCAGAAGTGTGGGTGTGGAGGGCTTTAGGGTGCCTTACAGGACCCCTGCCAGGAGAGACCAGGAGGCCTGCAGACACGTTCCACGGAGTGGGTGTGGTTTGCAACCAAAGACTTGAACCTCCCCTTCTCATCTGTGCTTCTGGGAGTTCGACGTTGATCTGGCTGAGGTGAAAAGGCTCAGAGTAACGTTTCTGGGGGCCTCTCTTAACTCTGCGCCTTAGAACCAAGCTCACCTTCTCCTGGCAACCACCCCACTGGGCCAGCCTTCTCTCAGTCCCTTCTGAAGTTACACTTCCTGGGTTCATGGGTTCATTCCGGGCCCCTTCTCACTCTGGAGGGCGAGGGCGAGGGCTAGAGCAGTATTTTCGGTTAGGTGTCCCGCTCTCTGGGGCTCCCAGGGGAGTGAGCTTGAGAACCGCGCTGCCGGTGCGCGCTGCCACTTACTGCCTGAGCGTAGGCGCCGTAGGCCCCGAACGGGATGGCCATGGGGTTGAACATGCCCATCTGGCCAGCCATCTGCTGCATTCGCCGCATCGTGCGCTCCTTGTCGGTGTCGGCGAATTTGACCACCAGACTGGATGAGGCTCCCTGCGGCCGGGGCGGCGCGTGAGACCCACCTGCTCCAGAGCCTCCGCCCGCAGCTGTCGGTGCCCTTGGCCCGGGGCCCAACCCGCCCGCTCCTCGGGGCGCTTTGGAGAGGGTGACATCAGCGCTCGCCCAGGGGAATGAGATGTGAACCCCACCGCGGGCATTTTCTACCTGGGTAACCTCGAGCCGGTTCCTTAACATCCCTGGGTCTCAGCGTCCTCGTCTGAGACCCGGGGATAAGGGTCATGCTCTCCTGTCTCTCGGGGAGACTGGGCTGCCGGCGGGCGTGGCGGGTGCTGGGGTATCGGCCCGCCTCTGCCCTCGTCCCCGCCCCAAGGGGCCAGCACTCACCGGCATAGTCTGGCTGCCGTGTAGCGCGTTGATGGCGGCCTGCGCCTCGGCGTGGGAGGAGTACTTCACAAAGGCGCACCCTGCGGGACGCGAGAGGCCGAGCTGGGACCCAGAAGCAGGGCCAGGGAGGGGCCGGGAGGAGAGGGCGCATCTCAGGTGAACGCAGACGGGTGAGGCAGAGATTGAGAAAGAGACACCAAAAAGCCCAGAGACAGACCGCGACGGCACCGGAGACTCAGAGGTGCCCTCGGGTCTCCCTCCGCCTCGCCCCTCCCGCCCGGGCACCTTCCCGGCCCCGCCCCGCTCCGCCCCGCCCCGCGCACCCTTGCTGTTGCCGTCGGGCCCGCGCAGGATGGTGCACTCCTCTATGTTCCCGAAGGCCTCGAAGAGGCGGCGCACGTCGTCCTCTGACTGTTGCTTGTTGAGCATGCCCACGAAGAGTTTTCTATCTTCTGGAACAAAATTAGGAGATGCTTACCCGGGCCAGGGACCGGGCTGCGCAGGGGCGGCCCGGGGAGCAGGGCTCGGCCGGAGGTGGGAGGGCGGCAGGGAGAGGGAGGAGCCAGGGAGGCGGGGCCGGGGCTCGGAGCCAGGGGAAGAGGGGTACGGGGAGGGTGACGGGGTGAGGCTTAGTCGGAGCTGGAGAGGCAAAGGATGAAGCGGGTGAGGTAGGAGAGGGAGGGCACAGCCGCGGGACAGGTGCGGGGGAAGCTGTGGCAGGCGGGAGCTGGATGGCAGCGACTCGGCCTCCTCCCGCCTGCAGGGCAAGCGGCACCCTGAAGGGCAGAGCCCCTGGGCTAGCCCCTCATGAGAGCACACGGGTCGTTCTGGCAGCCTGCGTTCCCCTCCTCCCTCCTCTCACGCGCTCTGCTCTACAGGCGCCAGAATGAATCAAAACTGTCAGGTTTGCCGTCGGGCCTTTGCAGCTGCTGTTCCCTTGCCTGGAGCGCCCTCATCAAAAGGTCCAGTCCTTTTCTTCCAGCTCTCAGCTCCAGTATTGCTTCCTCCCCCAAGCCCCTTCTTACCCGTCCCTCACTCTGTCTCAGCCCCCATCCCTGTGGCTGGAATGTCAAAGGACAATGACTGGGTTTCGGAAAGCTCCCCTTTCCCGCCCATTCCCTGGGATGCTCACTGGGGAAAGAGACCAGGCCTCTCTGCTGAAGCGGCAGTGCCTGGCGCACAGCAGGCCCTCCATTCAGTGATGGGGTGAACAAAGTGAATAACTGCCCACCCTGTGCCATCCCAGGCACACCTCGTTGGTATCTCACATGGTTTTTCCTCCATCTGCATGCCCCCCTCCATGGTCTGGCTCTTCTATTTCTTCACGCTGCAACATTCTGCCCTGGGCACTTTGGGGGTGCCTGTTCCTGAAGGTGCCTCAGCAGCCCCCACACACCTGTGATGAGTATCAAGTGCTTTGTTGACCTCACGCTGTGTGCTCAGGGTGACAAGGCGCGCATGGGGCTGTATCGGCCTGCAGCCGCTGGTGAATCACTGCAGAAGATGCCCGCAGCCCACATGCTCTGACTTCAGTGTGACTGTCACTCCTCTCACTGAGAGCTGGGGGGCATCTTCCTTTCCCTTGAATCTCAGTGGGGCTTGTGACTGCTCTAACAAATAACAAATGGCAGAAGTGACGCCAGGTGACTTCTGAGGTTGGGTCATAAAAGAGATCAGCTTCCCGTTGGCTCTGTTTTGGGGAGTGTTGGCTCTGTGGAACCCAGCCACCATACTGTGAACCCCCAATTAGCCCATGTAGAAGAGTCCCCATGTAAAGGAACTGAGGCCCCAGCTGACAGCCAACATCAACCAGCAGACATGTGAATGTCCTCAGATAATGCCAGCTCCCAGCCTTGGAATTTTCCAGCTGAGACCCAGACATCCTGGAGCAGAGACAGGCCTTCCATGCTGTGCCCTGTGAATTCCTGACCCACGGAATCCATGAGCAAAATAAACGGTTGTTTTACAACACTCAGTTTCGGCCTAAATTGGTATGCAGCCATAGGAACTGGAACATAGTCCCAGAGGTGGCTGCACTCAGCAGGCATTCACTGGATGTTTGTGGATGATTACATGATTGACACACAGCCAAAGCTGCAGAAATGCAGACCCCAAAACTGCAAATGGCCATGTGTTCATGGTTTCCTCTGAACACACAGGCACTCAGGGACTCTGTGTCCTTCTGTATTCAAGGTGGTTGGTACCTACTCTCCTAGAGAACCCCCACCTTGCCCATATTGCCAGGAGAGTTCACTTATAGCTAAGGGGCTGTCCTGGGGTCTGAAGCAAAGCAGAGGAAGCTTCCAGGCTCCTGCGCTCCGAAAGCTACCTGCACAGTCCTCCTGCCCTCTGCCCTGCTGGTACTCCTAAACCCAGATGCACTCAGCACTGGGCCAGTTCTCAATGATGACGTGGTGCTGGTGTCCCAGCTCCTCCTATAACCTGCAGGGCATGGTTGCTGATCCTATTACCAGCTCTGGATCAGGAAACACCAGCTGCCCTCCAACTGGGTGGGCCTCACCTGAAGCTCTGGACCCCAGAGCCCCAGCCCCACTGCCTGTCTCCTACTGCTCTTCTGGCTCCTGTGGCTTGGCAAAACTTTGGGGCACACCCCCACCTCATGTCCAGAGTTCCTTGTGCAGCCCTTCCCCACCAACCCCAGTCTCTGGAGAAGGAAGAGAGAGAGGGAGGGTGGAAGCGGAAAACTGAAGTGGGATGGGAGGAGATAGAGTTCAGAACCGAAAGGGAGCGGAGGAGAGAAACTGGCAGAAAACATAGGCAAGAGCATTAGAGGGGAATAGCTGGAAATAGCTGGGAGAAGAGGCTGTCGGGGAAAGATGACAGAGACAGAGGAAAGAATGGGGAGCCCTTATGTTTGACTCCTGGAAGCAGCAACAGCAATTTACTGTAAGTGAAATGGGAACTTTTCCTTCTTTTGTGGAGTAATTAAAACAGTTCCCCCTCCCCACCCCACTCCCCCTACCTCCCTCTCAACCTTTGGTGCCTTTTAAAGGCTCAACTGAATAGGGTTTTCAGAAAGACTAAGAAATGGAAACCTGCCCCTGCTAATCTCTGGCCCTCTTGCTAAAAATTCCATTTCCTCACTTGGACAGAAAAAGGAAAGAAAGGGAAGGCACCTCCTCTGCCCAAGCTTGATTTACATTCGGGGACCGCAGTTCCTCGCCTTCGCCTCTCCTGACGTCTGAATGTCTTCCTTTATTATCACTATGACAGTTTTCTGATTGCATTAAAATTCATCGACACGTGCCTTTCTATCCAGCCACTTCCTTTTTTGCCGGTTTTGGGTTTTTTGTTTTTTCCTAATTCCTCGTTCTCCTCCCCTGAAATCTCCCTTCACTGTGCAGTTCTCAGTAAGGAGCCTCCTGCTCGAGGCCTTTCTAAACATATAAGCGGCCAGGCTCCACCTCTTCCTTCCTCCCCATCTGGATTTACCTAGGGAAACGACAGCCACCCTTACCTTTCTGGAAGACTGCAAGAAACCAGAGAAACTCAGCTTCAGACCCACTTCCTCCAGATAGTCATGAACTGACTGCACCCAACGCAAATGTCTGCTTCCAGGATCCTCAAATGTGTTCAGTTTGCACTGTCCTCCAGTTGGGAATTGTGACTTGTGCAAGTGATTCTAAGGCTTCTCTCTCAGACCAGGGGCTAGAGGGACTTCGAGTTCTCAGGTGGACCTCCTTCTGGGCCAGGCCCACTGACTCCCACTCCCACTCCCTTCTCCACACTTGAGTTTCAGGATCTATGAAATGGGTGTGATGAGATACTCCTGCCATGGTAGTGGCTAGGGACCCAAGAGCTGCTGCAGGGGTAGTGCCTGCCCAGAGGTAATTACCATGGCAATGGTCCCTACTTGGGTTTCTCTGTGCAGGAGGAAGAGGAAATGCAGTGCTCACCCTGCCTTGCTTTGGCCTGGAAGGTCACCCCTACTGTGAGGGGGCAGAAGTCAAAGAGGGTGAGAGGAGAAGGCAGAGGATCCACATCTCATGATGGGGAACGTACTTGAAGCAACAGGTTGGATTAGATTCTGAGGCTGAGGCGACCCACTGAGATGGACGACATCCCCATCTCCTACCCCCTCTGCCCACCTCCTTTCTGGCCACTTTCCTGAGGCACTGTCTCAAGCTGTGTCAGATAAACAATGGTACGATTTGGCTGGTGTCTTGAATCTGATGCCAATTTCACAAGAGTCTTGGAGAATGACTCAGTTTCCCCAGTTTGTGCCCATCCTCCTCCATCTACACAGCCCCTAACTTCTGGTACAGGCAGAGCAGGCCCTGATCACTGCCCAGTTGCCTGAGCTGGGACCCAGGGTAATGGAGAGGCTCTGGTGGTCCCCCTTTTTTGGCAAGCCCTCAGCCCTGAGCCCACTGCTTCCCACAGTTGGGGTGTCGGGAACTGCCCCTGTAAAGAGATGTTCAGGCAGGAGCTGCTGTGCTGGGCCAAGGTGGTGAGGTGAGGAGTGGCCTCAGAGCTAGTGTGGGGAGGGGCTGAAGAGTGAGTGGGAGGTCGCTGAGAACCCCTGGGAGCTTGGAGACGGAGACGTGGTGAGCAACTGGAGGCTGGCATTGGGAGCCCAGATTCTCCTCTTAACAGAGCCCAGCTCAGGTCAGGGGCTCAGCTCTGGAAGTTGGAAACTGATCACAAAATCCGCTGACCTGAGCTGAGGGGACTGAGACCTCACGGATTTCTCCTGGTCAAGGGACAGAGCAAGGGGAGCATGTTTTACAGTCACTCAGCAGCCATTCACTGAGCGCCTTCTCTGTGCCAGACACCGTTCCAAGCATTGCTTCTACAGTGGTAAACAAGAGAGACGCAGCTGCTCGCCAGAGCTGCCATCTGGGTGGAGAGACAGGCCATCCACAACACACAAGTATCCAAACAAGACGAAGGCCAGTAGGGCTGCCATACAGTGGCCCCAAGAACTGCTGTCCCTGAACCTGGAAGAACAAGGTCATAGAATGGCAGTGCTGGGCAGGATCCCGGATAACACCAAGGGTTTCACACTTTTTCAGACGAGGAAGCTGGGGTGGAGAGGCAGCTCCAGGATGCACAGGAGGTTGCCCACAGCTGGAGCCTAAACTCAACCCAGCCTTGTGGGGTTCCTTGACTTCCTGATCCCAAAGCCCTTGCTGCTGCCATCTGCTCTTTTAAACTGAATGCCTGTGCCTGCAGGTGTGAGGGAGCATCTGTTCTGTGGAACAGGAGTGTGACTCCCCAAAGGGCTGGGCAACAGGAGGTGGGTGCTCATCCAAGCCCTGCCTGGACCCAGAGAGGGTAACTTGGCTCTTTGTGCCCAGATGTCTAACCACCATGAGGGAATAGGCAGAGTCTGCACTCACCACCCCATCTGCGTAGGAGCCGGGGCTGGGGGAAGCCAATAAAACTGTGGATGGGAGAAGCCTGCAGCTCTGTGTCAGGTGAAGGTGCT